AGGACACACACACACACACACACACACACACACACACAGACAGAGGTAAAATCAGTTGACGTTGCCTCCCAGGGTTGCCAGGTCTGCATTACAAAACTAGCCCAAAGGCCAATCAAAACATGCCACACCCATACCAACATACTTGCGTCACTGTTACGCGTTATTCACAATTTTACAGTCTGCTTTCATTTCCCATCCCTCACAAAACTCATCATACTATCACTGTTTTTTGTTGTTGTTTTTATTCTTTTTTGGCAAGATTTTAAAAGTAGCCCAATTCGACTAAAAAACGCGGAACAGTCAACCCTGAATGCTTCCAACTATGAAGCACGGTTGATCATCAAAGATTTTTTTAGATAACCGGAGACAGATCATTTGATTTAGTGTAGACAATAAAATACTTAAATCTGAAAAAGATTAAATTGAATTTACTGTAGGTTCCAAAAAAGTTTTCACAGTGTTGCTATAGAAAGAACACTTTTTGGTTCCACCAAAAAACCTTTCAGTGACTAGACATATATGTTTTTTTTTCTTAGTGTAAAGAACATTTTAATAATCTAAAGAGTTTTTTCGACTATAAAGCCACTTTTGTGGAATGAAAAGGTTTTATGGATGTTAATTTTTATAGAACTGTCAATGCCAATAATGAACCTTTAAATTTAAGAGTGTACTAGAGGTTTTAGGCAAGACATCCATAATTAAATTTTTGGCAGTTTGTGTTAGAAATAGTAAAGAGATCAAGGCCTCAGAGAGTGTCAAATACAGCAGGGTTAATATTTCATCTCTAGATAGTCAAAGATGGACCAAATGGAAAAAAGTTAAAAGTTAAACAAAGCTGTGTTAGTTGAGTGCATGAAGTCAACCTTCTTGACCATTTTTTGGGCCTCATAATCTCAAAACCTAGTGAGTTTCCTACATATATAACATTTTTAGGCATCATAATCTCATAATTTCCTAGTTATTATCTGACTCTCTAAACTGTGCTGCTGTATGAGCTGAGAGAAGTGTCTGATATCAGTGAAGATGTTCCCATGCATTAAAACACACTCTCACTCAAGACTTGTTTATTTCTTAACATTGCACATTTAACACATGTTGACTAAAGGCACATTTACAGTATGCATCTGTCAGACACTTTTACCGGTCATACAAGTACATAGTAGATAGTTTGATCAATACATGTTCCCTGTGAATTGCACTGATTGCATGATTAAGGTACAGCCAGGAACACTATAGAGACACAAGATAAATATAATAAAAACACACACAAGAAAAATATGCAATGGGAAATGACTGCTTCACAATATTGTCATGTGACGTTAAAAACCTTTAAAATAGAGACAATCTCTTTTTGCTTACTGCTGAAGAGAAATCCCTTTAAACCACACAATTACTGTATAACATTAAATAACAACAGCAAGAATTGAAAGAGCGAGAAAATAAGTAATCTAAAATATTTAAACATAAAATGACAGAAAATAATAATATTAATAATAAAGTCAATACATTATATAAATCACACGACAATTACATAAATGATTAATAATTCTAAAATTCAATGTATTTAAAAAAAGAAAATAAAACAACACATACTTGATGCTACTGAGAATCCTTAGGTGCTGCACAGCACTCCAGACAATGTTTTACACAGACTCAAAGAGGACCTACAATAACGTACAGTATTTGAAAAATAATTTGTTTTTTGAACATTAAAGCATGTCAACATATTCTGTTACACCAAATACACAAAATAATGATCTTTAAAAAAGCATCATATGACCCCTTTAAAAGAAAAGGAGTCTCTTGACATGTTTTTGGCCAGGACACACTGGGGTTACATCCATATCTTTACCAGAAGTGCTATGGGTGCCGGCTGGCTATAACAACACTTACAGTAAATCATGTATTGCACTATACAGTAACCAGAGAGAAGAGAGGCTCTATGAGGAATACAAAATAAAAAATATTTACTTCCACACTGACTTCCATAGTATGAAAAAAAATAAAATACTATGGAAGTCAATGGCTACCGACAAATGTTTGGTTACCAACATTCTTCAAAATATCTTCTTTTATGTTCAGCAGAAGAAAGAAACGCATACATGATTGGAACATCTTGAGGGTGAGTAAATGATGACAGATTTGTCATTTTGGGTGAGCTATCCCCCACACACACACACATTAAGAAGGTCAATAATAAGATAAATAATTGTTTTTGGTTTGCAATTTATAATACCTCTTAGATCGTAAAGTTGATGAACGTAATTTTTATGTTAAATAGCTACTCAGAAGTCACTGGTTTGACAGTCACTAGTTCGGCTTCCTGAAGAGTGTAACACTGTGACATTGATCTGTGTTCACCTGGTATTAACATGCGTTTCCAACTTTTGTGGCTCTTTTGATCAGACCATCAAAACCTATGTTTTTAAACTCTCACTGCTATAAAACACCATTTCATAATTCACCAATGTTCATTCGACTGAAGCGATTAGAGAACTGAAGTTCATGTAACACAAATGTGAAAATCAGCATCATATTTGCAGCGTAAAAAAACAATAAATCTAATACAGGAACTGTCATAAGTTTCCTTAATAATGCAGAGTATTCCTTAATGAGCTGACTCAGATTAGAAGATGCTGACAGAAAAAACAAGAACTGAAAACAAACAGCTTTTTTTGCAGAACAAACCTGGATCATTAGAATTCAGTGTTTATTCAGAATGACTCTGGACTGGTCATCTACACCTGCTCAATGCCTCCACCATAATAGCGATAATTTTTCCGCAGACATAGGGAAGATACTGTATAAAAACAGATTAGGATGATTCCAAGGGCCCGACGAGAGAGAGGGGCCTGGAAAGCGATTTCTACCGAGAGGCTTGAAGAAAAAAATAAAAAGGGTATTTAATGGGTAACATTTTTGAATCTCTGCATAAACCCATATTCCTTTAAAAAACATAGTGGGAGATACAAGAAACTTGGAGAATTTCTGGTAGAATACATTTATTTGTATTTAATACACAGTTTACCAAACATTTTCCCACTTTTGCTGACTTCACCCCTAGTTTTCTCTCTCATCTAATTTTCTTTCCTTAGGTGCTCTGAATAGAATTGTGTCTACGTTTGTCTGTAACTAACATCTGTCTTATCAGAAGTTATGCTATGAAACTAATGATCTTACCTTGCTGTGCATCGCTTAGAAAAGAAAAAAAAACAATAACCAAACAGGCAAAATCATACTTATGTCCTCATAAAACATGTTTAAACGAGAGCCTAAAAACTGAAAGTACTTGCTTGATGTTTGACAAGTTCGTCCTCATTCCTGTGGTTATACTGTAAACTTCAGTCATTAAAATAGATTTAAATTTGTTGCTAACAGTTTCATAATTTAAAAAAACTCCCTTAAAGCACACTTTTCATACACTCACCACTATATATACTGTGTATATATATATATAGTGAAGATGTTTTCCCATGTCCATTACAAACACACTCACACTTAGTAAGATTCATTTATTTCCTAATATAGCAAATTTAACACGTTGTTTAAATAGGCATTTACAGTATACTGTACATCTGTCAGACACATCTGTCTCACCAGTGTTAAGGCTAGAACGTACACCATTTTAAAAATCTGAACAGATTTTAAAAAGCTATAGTCTTCACACACTTACAAAAATATAAAACTGGCCATCATACACTAAACGACTGAGGATCACACAGACTTTAAAGTTGTTCCGATCACAACAAACTCACATAAAAATGTGAAAACATTGTGTGCTCTAAAATCAGCTGAAAATATCAAACATATTTGATACCCTCTGACTGGATGGAATCAGAGTCTGAAGCTAAAAAAATCAGTTTGTGACCATCATACACCTCACAATTTTCTATGAAATGTCAAATCTTAAATCTGCAAACTGGATCTGACTTTTGCCAACTAGCATCGACTTCTCCAGACTGTAAATTGGGACAAAAATCTGGGCAGTAGTCATGTAGTGTATTCCAGCTTTTATAGTGCATGCTAGATGTACATTTGATCAATACATGTTTACCCAAAACAACATGTTTTACTTAAAAAAACTAAAAAGAAAACAAATGAGTCTATTGACTGGATTTTAAAACATCATTTAAAAAAAAAAAAAGGACCCTGACTCTAACATAAATTCAGCCAATAGACTTTAATCGTGACCACTGAAAGTTAAAACAAAATCACAGTATAACTTACAGTAGATCATGTATTGCACTATACAGTAACCGGAGAAGAGATTATCTAAGAAGAAAACAAAATAAAAATGACAATAAAAGCTCATCTTTGTTAGATTTAGCAGCAAAGACTATCCAGTGATAGGTTTAACGTGTCTATTTTTAATTTGTTTCATGATTATTAAAACTATCAATGGAAAAAATATTAAATGTAAGTGTTTTGTCTGATCCCAGTGTTAATCAGATTCAAATTCTGCACCCCATAGCAATCTCACTCCTCAGACTTACTGCCAGTGTCTTTGCAGCAGACATTGATAGCAAATAACACACAAACAAACACACTGTGTTTTGAATTCTACAATGTGGACTAGTGATAAATTAACCACATAGTCAAGTAACCACATAGTGCTAACTGTGTAAAATAACTTTTTGCAAATGATCATATTTAGACTGCCCATCTTTGCCATAATATTAAAAAGTCTCATTTTATGATCTTACATGGGTTTTCTAGGATATATGATAAAATTCTACCTGTACTGTAACAGCTGGATGCAATGGCCAAAAATATTTTAGTTACTATTATAGTTATTAAGCATACTCTTATATCTAATAGCAATAAGTTTTAGATGTAATACTAATTCTTGATTAGTTTTTCCCCACATATAATTTACTACAAGATCAAGTAATGAGATAAAGAAATGCTTTTGGTTTGCAATTTATTTTTAGTTCTTAAAGGTGAAAAACTTAAAGTTTGATTTTAATGTTAAGTTAATTTGCACTAGAAGCCATTGGTAGTTTGACATCCTGAAGAGTCTAACACTGACATTGACCTGTGTTCACTGAAACAGAAGCATTTCTCAAATGTTTTACTGATACAAAACACCATTTCATAATTCACCAATGTTCATTCGACTGAAACGATTCCTGAAAACTGAGTTTCATGTAACACATATCATGTGATCTTGACCCTCTGAAATGTTTCAAGAAACTCTCAAATGTGAAAAGCAATGTCATATTTCGAGTGAGCATAAACAACTTCATAAACAGGAACTTTCGTAAGAGCTGACTCAGATTAGAAAATGCTGACAGAAAAAACCCTGTAAACAAACATCATTTGTTTTTCTGAACAGAGCTGGATAATTAGAATACAGTGTCCATTCAGAATGAAGAGAAATCAAAAACCTGTTCACACCGCAGTCTGGTCTGCAGATTCATCAACACTGAGCTCTTCATCAGATGCATCAGCACACGCTGCATCGGTCATCGGTATCTGCTCACTCACTGCACCATAATCACGATGATGATTTCTCCCCAGAGCTAGGAAAGATTCTACAGCATTAAAACAGATCAAATGTAAATTTACATATATTTATTCACACTTCACAGTTGTTTGATCAATATTATGGATAATTGTACCTTGTAGTCTGTCAAATGAAATAAAATCTTACTGTCATCAGAATCTCTATCATCATGTTTACATATTTCTACCATCATATACTGTTCATGCATTTTAAAAGGTCTATAAACAAGGATATTTAAAAACAAGAACCTTAAAGCTAATGATCATGAATATTTACAACTCACCATTTGGCCCTTTATGACAAATCGCAATGAGAGCTAGAACTAAAATTACAGCTAGAACTGGAACGGTTAATCCTACTATAAAAGACCACTGAGATTCTGTCTCAAATGTAGAACATTTTCCATCTGGAGAATGAAAATAATAAATAAAAACAGACACATTATATATCATCATCATAAACTGTTAAACTAAGTTGAGGCACTTTAATTGTTTGTGACCAGCAACATTAATCCATTTTAGCATTATTCTCCTGCTACAAATATGTGAGTGACTGTATTTCTGGTGATATTTACCCCATTCTACTGAAGCTGGTTCTGTCAGACTGCCGTGAATGACAAAACAGTCATAAGATCCTTTGAAGTTTTTGTCAATCTCCGCACTGGTGTTCATCTGAAATGTTTCATTAGCATTTGGTCTGATTTCAGAACACATTTGGTTGTCTAAAATAGATTCGTTCAATCTGATGTTCATCTCAATATCTCTGGGGTAAAAACTAGTGGCCGAACAGGTCAAAACCAGCTTGTGTTGATCATGTGGAGCTTTCCTCGCAGAGATGTAAACATCTGGTGAATCTGGAGAAGAAGGTAATGCAATTAAAACACAAACATTCACAAAAATTATTCTGGTTTTTGTGCAGTAAAATAATTTAAGTCAAATGCATTCTGAAAAGATATGAGTATGCACTTTTTGCCTTTGCAATTCTCTCTTTAATGGTATCTCCTACCTAGTTACTAGATATTTAGTCTGATTTCAGAACACATTTGGTTGTCTAAAATAGATTCGTGCAATCTGATGTATTATATATTTGATAAGATGACATGCAATCTGACAATCCAGTGCATCAAACTCCTACAATCCAGATGAACATTCATTGAGTTGCACGGAGACACTAATTTGCACGCCACACTGGATCTGCACTAATAAACATGAAGCATCAGATTTCCTGATGCAAACACACTATTACATCTAAAGCCCAAAGTATACTTCAGTTTTTATGCATACGTTAGCGTATGCATACAGTTGAACGTGCAGCCTTTCAAAGTATACTCCATTTGATAGTGTGCGCAAACGCAAGCGGTTGACGCTCTAGAAAGCTTCATCTTAGTCAAATGTCTGCTCTGTTTTTCTCCAGAAGTTATGACCGATAAAAATGTCTTTGTACTCTTTTAAACTAAAGTTGCTGCTCTCTCTTAACTCCTCAGTCTCTGCTATTTTGTTGTCATTCCGTCTCTTTAATTTTGTTTTCTACTGTGAAAGAATGGCTTGGGCCAGTGTTGCCACCTTGTGGAATAACTGATTAGTGCAAAACCAAGTCAATGCGCATGCGCGTACTATTCTGGCGACAAAATTTGCATCACATGCACTGTACGCTGACCCTCATGTACGCGTAAAAACCAAAGTATACTTTAGGCTTAAGAAGTGTAGAGGACACTTATTTTGATATTCTGTTGTCTTGCCGTTTCTGGTTTTCATTTTATGTAGTTTAGGCCTAGTCCACATGTACACAGGTATTTTTATAAACAGAGCTTTTCTTGTTTTGTTTTAAAAAGAAAATCTTGTCCCCATGAAAACGCAAAAACACGCTATGAAGCGCTGTCAAGAGCACACCAAACCAACAGGTGGCTTTATAACCCTAACCCTAACTTTTTTGCGCAGAAAGCATTTCTATGCCAAACCGCATAGAAAAAGCTGCGGTTTTGAAAATACCCATGTTTATGTGGACAGGGTCTAAGGCCCTGTTTTTGCCTTTGTTTCCTTAATCACCCTTGTTAGTCACCATACTAACTCATTACCCACACTTGTTCCTTCTTAGCCTGTGTTTCAGTTTTCATTTGTTGGTCGTTCTCTTTGCATCTCTTTTGTAAAACTGTGGCATTTTTTCATTGTCATGACTGTTTGGTTTTATGTTTCTTGTTTCGACTATGTGATCCTTGTATGAGTCTGTTTTTTATGTTTGGATTATTTTCACTTGCATTTCAAACAAACTGCTGCAATTGACCTATCGGTAAGCCCCTCCCCTCGAAAGCAGATGAGCCAATGGCAGTGGAGTATCAGTTGCACGGGGAGCACAAATCGGACATCTTTAGGTTTCAGTGCAATAGAGAAACATTGGAAGATCCGAAGCTCGCATCGGTTTAATGGTGTTACGAAAATGGAAAAACGATGTGCCCATGGTACTTGTAACAGTGATTCCAGGTATCCTGAGAGGATGGGCAATGGAATTTATTTTATTCCATTTCCTAAATCCAACCAAAACAAAGTAAAATGTCCCTAAGCATTCAACTCCAATCACAATGAAGATGAAAACGTTCATTTTCTGGTTGTCATACTCTCAATAAGTTACACTTTTCATCTGCTCAAGCAGAACGTTAATGTCATCTTGTGCTTCAGCAAGGTATCTCTTCCTAAAACTAGCTAACGTTAGCGTTAAAGTTAGTGAGTCCATGCTAACGTACAAACCTTAATAACGAACTGTTCTCACGTCATGTACCGTGCAGTGAAAGTCAACAACACATAAACGAAGGTCTATATTAGAGTGCCTCTCCATATTAATCTGGTTAAATGTAAATTAATTTAATCTTACTCTGCGGTATATGAACGGTGTTATTCCGGGATGTTGTCATTGCGATCGTGACGACCGTAACATAATTCTCCCGTTTGCATTGTGATCTGTATTTTTACATATTTATTTTTATATCTTTTATATGTCCCTCCATGGCATATTTAAGTCCCACTTGAAGGTCCATCTGTGTCCCAAATTTATCAGAAACATCTTGGAAGAAGGTTTTCACTGACAGCTGTCATTGTAAGACAGTGAGCAACTCCGGTTGTTTGTCCGAGTGAGCAACAGTAACTAAGGCTTACCGATAGGCCAATTAGGTCTACACCTCTCATATTTTCTGTGCAACTGTAACATAAACCTTGAAACTTTACCAATTCTAAAATCTGCTTTTGCTGTGAACGGTGCCAGTTTTAGATGCAAAGCCATAAAGTTAAATAAAAGACTCAAATGATCCTCAAAAGTTTTACATTCAAATCACTAGTATTTAATCATCACTAATGATGAACTGCCTCTGTATAGAAACAACCTCCTGGAGTTATTTTGTCAACATCACACACACATTGAGTTTCTATGTTTTATGGGTTCATTCCATGGACGTAATGATTTTTCTGCTGAACAAACTCTTTTCTGTCTTCTACCCCTAAACCTACCCTTCACATGAAGCTTCATTCTATAGGATTTATAAGCTGTTGTTCTCAATGGGACCAACAAATAAAAATAAAATCCCCACAAGGATTTTTGGATATTGCCAACATTTTGTCCCTATAATGTGGAGTATACCTCAACTACACACACACACACACACACACACACACACACACACACACACACACACACACA